GAGTTATATTAAAATCATTATTTCCCCTAACATCAATATTATCTATTTATTTAAATTACTTCTATATAAAAAAAAGAACATATTTTGCATGAATTGTTAAAATATTATCAAACACATCATGTATTAACATAAATTTTGTAAATTAAATTACACTTAAAAGCATAATAACATAAAATAGAAGAAATCTTTTTTCATAACAATGCAAGTATATAATTACATAAAGATATGGATGGCATACCAAATCCATTCCGGACAACCATACCTTAACTACAAAATCAAAAAAAGAAAAACTTAAAATCATATTCTAACATAAAAAAAAAACTAAAGAAATATATAAATCATATCTTATACTATTAAGTTTAACTATTGAACTATATTGTAAGAAAACTTCTCTTTTAATTTCAGAATGAAGCTATTTGTTCTTTTCACCAGCTAGCTCCTTGACGACATGCATTCATATCATAATTTAGGAAGAAGAAAAGAGAATACTAACTTGTCACGACCCAATTTCTCGAGACATGAAGGCACCTACTATAACCCACCAGTAGGTAAGCCAAACCGTAACCCAGAACAACACGTAATGGGTGTGAGGGTAGAAACTAAACAAGACTAAGCAAATTACTATAACCACATAAGCAAACCAAAACATAAATACAAATAAGGATCCCTCCCAGAGCCTAGAAGTCACTAATACAGAGCTACCAAAAAAACGAGTGCAAGTCCCAACAGTGGACCACCGAAACTATACTGTCTTGAAAAGTAAAAGACAAGTCTTTATATAAACAGATGGAAACTTAAATAGTACAAAACATCGTGTACTCACCCCTGTCTGTAGACCAGAAATGCTCCAAACTCGATCAACGCTGAATACTGGTGCTCTAACCTGCATCACGAAAAATAGATGCAAAGCGTAGCATGATAATAACAGGTACCCAATAGGCATCATAGGCCAACTGAACTAGAGAAGTAAAGCAATATGAAAAGACGGAATCACAAACTAGAGGTCAAGAATGGAAAGCTAAGTAACACGGTAATGCACACGAGTGTATAAAGATTTAACTAAATTAATATAATTAAGCTAACTACACCTAACTGGACCCATCATAAGCAAGAAGGTACACTCGTGCACAAGTTTAAATAAAAACCCGAACGGACCTCCATAAGCCCGACGAGTACACAAAATAACTATAACTTAAAGAGTATAGAACTCGAGACCAAAGGACACCGAATAAAGTAAAATTTGACGGTGCGGAGGTCGGGCCTTGAACCGGACGCTCACAAGAATTACACAAGTAGCCAATTGCAAAATATAATTAACTGAAGTCGGACCTCTAACCGGATGCTCTACATACTTGAGACGGGAGCTGTAACTGGACGCTCTACATAAGTATGTGGATGGTCGAGGCCGGACCTTAAATCCGGACACCCGAAAAAGATGTAGATATAGCTGTTGAAAGAGTCTTTATCTATGCATAATCATATATACCCGTGGAACACCATCCAGACCTAGCTAATCAATGTAAATCCTTAAAGCCGAATCGAAACTCAACTTTGAATCACAGAGCGGAATTCATTGTCAGTGACGTAACTCGAGAAGCCATAACATCGAAGAAATAAGAGTGATTATCGCTGGAGCGAGTTCATTGTCTAGCTAAATACCAAACTATCACACTTAAGTTTGCTACATCAGTCAACAAGGATTTAAGCCGGCCGAGTGACGTCGGGGCTAAACTAAGTCCTACTGACTTTGAATCATGCATTTCTAAGGATAACCCTAGTCAAACCTAGACCTAAGGCCCAACATATATCTGATAACCAGTATTCAAACACACAAGTAATCCATATAGCAAATAAGGTCAATTAATAACAATAAACATGCTCACAGTTACCCGATAATTTTCAGAAAAAGGTTAAAAATATGATTTTTAACACCTATGCATGATCCAATAACTACCCAACCCAAATCCCAACTAATCAACATGCATTCACATGTTCGAGTTCAATCTAAGAAGAGAAACTGTAGCCTACCTGAATGCAGATCACGCGCGCTCCAAAATTCACTTC